TTTAGATTTTTTATCCCACCTTTATTATTTTTATAAATAACTCAAGGCAGCGAACATACCTAATCCTCCTCCCTCCTCCTGTGTTCCCCACAACAACAACCCTGTGAGGTGAGTTGGGCTGAGAGAGAGTGACAGGCCCAAAGTAGTCACCCAGCCGCCTTTCATGCCTAAGGCGGGACTAGCCTCCTGCTTTCTAGCCTGGTGCCTTAACCACTAGACCAAACTGGCTCTCAAATTAACGCACACCCCCAGCAATTCGCCCCTTGTCACGACAGGCGCACGGTCATGATCATTCATGACTCCTGGTGGCTTGTAATAGACTCGTGGCGGGGCTGCAGCACCTTGTAATTTATGAGCCCGCCGAACTGTTGGTGGAGTCCAGCGCCGATTGCGTTTGTAATAATGAGGCCTGGAGACGGCGAGAAGGCTGAAAGGGCGCCTCTCCTGTTGTATTTCTGCCGTAATTGCGTCTCCCGAAGGCAACCTAAATCTTCCTTGAGCTGCTTTCGACACGCGCACAAGGGCGGGCGCGCGCGCACGAGATCAGAGGAAGAGAAGGGGGGAGGGGCGCGCGCGGGAGGGGGCGGCCTGGCGGAATGCGCCTGGTGCTAATTGCGGAATGTAGGGCAAGGCTTCCGTTCCGCCTCCTCCGCCCCGCCCCGCCCCGCCCCACGCCTGAGCCTGCCTCCCGTCGCTTGTGGGTCTCCGGTTGTTACTTCAGCAGGATCCCAGGCAGACATTTCCCCCCTAGGGAACGCAACGGAGCTTTCCAATCTAACGGGGAGGGGTAAATCGTCCCCCTTTCGACGCACTGTAGCAAACGTGTCTGCTTCGTGCGTATTATTAGTAGGCGGTTGCTGGCCTCTGTTAAGGCTTCGCGAGTCTTTCCTTCCTTCCCTTCATTTTCTTCCTTCCCCCTCCCTTTTTCTCACCCTTTCTCAACATCAGTGCCATGTCGCTGCCCAGTCCCAATGATCATTTTGTGTCTATCAGAAGCGATTTGGTACAAACGCCAGGCATTAAAACGGAATGCGAGATGCATTTCCGCACTATTTTTTTTTCGGGGGATGGGGAAAGGTAATGTCAACCATTTCGATTTAGCATTTCAGGGCCACTGAACACACCTTGCACAGCAAGTTATTACTGTCTTAATGTAACCCGCTTCTAAATACTGAGATAGTAATAGGTTTGGCTTCCAAGTAAATGGATTTAACATGGAAACCTGGGGCAGATTTTGAGCAGCCCGATTCTGCAGCCCAGATTGCTTTAAGCCAAACGGTTTTCCCTTTCCGTCCTCTGATACAATTCACTAGAATCCGAATGCAATTTGGCCAACGCCCAGTTTTTCCAATATCTTTACCTAGAAAATTGCTCCAGTGCACCCAACATAATTTATTTCCAAGCAAGTCAATTTTCATTACCAATGTGAAGCTCACACACCACAGAGATGTGAGCAACTGTCCTAAAAAACGTGTGTGGGCAAATATGCTCATAGGTAAGGCCCAATGAATCCAATCAGTTGCATTTAATTCCCATTAAATGTCTTTTAAGATTGAAGCCTTGGTGCTGGAAGTAAATTCCATTCGATTATTTGCAGGATGCTCCAAGGTCAGTACAATCTGTCTCAGAAATAAGTCCAGGTGAAATTGGACGGGCTTACTTCCAAATAAACATGAGGAAGATCTGGCAGCATATTGAGTTTCCATTTAAATATTGGATTGGGTTAATATATTTACACAGAGTTGAATTCGATTGTTTCAAGCTAGCCTGTTTCCAAATTTAGAACTGCAGCCTTTGAAATCAGTAAAGCAAAAGCAACAATCCTCGGTAAGTCGGTTTCTGAATTTAGATGGGCCAGGAAAGATGGTCTCTCTCAATTCCTTAGGGAAACTACTGACCATCTTAGCAGCTTCATCAGTGATAAAAGAGCTAGAAAATGGCTTGTGGTTTTCAGAATTACACCATAACACACCACCATAAGACAAAATAATTTATGGCTCCATTTTTTAAATGGCTAGTCCATACAATGCCTTGAAAGAAGTGTGGGGTGAATGGGAGATCTGGGTTTGAATCCACATTCTTTATTATAGTAACTCTTTAAAATGAGAAGAAAACATCAGCATAACTATTCTGGTTAATATTATAAATCAAATTAAAGTACATTGCCCAGAAAACTGCACTTATTGGATGGTCTAGAACTAGATTAAAACATGTTATTATTACAGAGAAAGTTTGGTTGGTGTTTAAGAATCACATTGAAGCATTGTTGATTCCTTTCACTAGTTAATCTCAATAGATATTCTTCCCTATTCCATTCCAAAAGCTATTTGGGAAAGAGGTAAACCCAGATAGATAGCATTAACTTATTGGAGAACTAGGCAGAAAAGCCTATGGAGAAAATGGAGTCAGACAACTCAGAGGCTGTTAAGTGCTTTGTCTCAGGCATTCATGCTTTGATGGAAGTAAGCACCGGGTCATCAATAGTATACAGCTGGTTAATTATTATTTTTTAAATGTCAAGAAAAAATGGAGTAGAGAAAAGAAGAAGAAAATCACCTTAGCAGAAAAAGTCCCTAATCATTATGGGCCCAACTAATTGTAATTTAAATCTGTGAAAATACCTTTAATTTCTACTGTCTTTAATAGGATGTAGACTGCCCACAAAGTCATATCTATTTGAAGCAAATCCCCCTGAAATCTATCAGATTTTATTTCCATTAATCTGTGTTTAGCTTGGGGGGGGGGGGATTCAAACAATGGCGAGGATGCACCAAGATTACATCAAACATTTTGCCTGCTTAGCATGGTTATTCTTGGAGGGGCAATCCAGTCTCCTGAGGGTTATGTTTGTAAGGTATAAGCAAAGTGATCTGAAGGAACTACTCTGGTAAGATAATTGCTTTCCTTTTGCTTAGATTTAACTACAGCAGAAAATGACTTGCCAAGAAAAATGTAGTTTTTAAACCTTTAACAAAGTAATTATAATTTTATAATAATCGTTTTGAGCAACCATATAGATACTAACATACACACACGCACACACACACACAACCAGAAACAGCTGTAAGAGCAAAACGGAACCTACCGGCAGATTGTTTCGAGATTTTTCTTGTCATCCAGGTCTTGCGGATAGCTGGCAATGTTTTGGCCCATCTTGACCACACAATCCGAGAAGCCCTTAAAGACTGCATCGCACTTACTCGCCTCTTTGACTGCCTGCACCAGGTATGCTGGGGAACAGATCAGCACCATATCAGCTGGACAGCTCCCAACAAGTTAACAGCATGCGATACCCACCCCTAGTTTGATTCCAGAAAATGCTGCGATCAAGCTGCACCTTCCTTTCACCTTCACACAGCTGCATCAAAGCTACAGTAGGAGCAAGATCTGCTCTTCTAGTAGCTATCTTCACCCCACAACCACCACCACCCTTTCAAGAACATGTAATTGGATAAGCTGCATTTGAAATGAAATACAATAGGTCTAAAACACAGTAGGTCTACAGCACTCTGTATTTGGCTCTTCTTTAAGTGACCCACAAATGCTTGAAAACAATATAAAACTACAGTTGCAACAGCAGTTCTTTTGGGTTATTATTATTATTTTTTTTAGATTTTTTTTTTTATCCTGCCTTTCTTATTTTTATAAATAACTCAAGGTGGGGAACATACCCAATACTCCTTCCTCCTCCTATTTTCCCCACAACAACCACCTTGTGAAGTGCTGAGAGTGACTGGCCCAAAATCACTTAGGCTTTCATGCCTAAGGCGGGACTGGAACTCACACGCTCCTGCTTTCTAGCCTGGTGCCTTAACCACTAGATCAAACTGGCTCTCACCCCTCAAACTGGCTATTTAACCATTAGTTATCCTCTTAGGATCTGTTTTGAATTATTTTGAAAAGAAGTATTTAAAACTTCTTTGGTTCCATTTTCTGAATAATATTACATTAAAATGTAGCAAATTGCAACTTCTGAAATGCTATATTGATTTCTGAACAGAGATCAATGGTTGAAATGAACTTTAAAGCCAACCACATTGTTGAGATTGCTAAAACTGACTCTTAAATAGTTTCGGCAATCTACAGAGCAGAGCGAAAATTCCAAAGATAATTTCAAAACCAGGACGTGTATATACATTTGTCCATAGAAGGTGATGAAAATATCTAGAAGTCATCAAATGTAGACAAATATCTGGAAGTCATCAAATGTAGACAGGTGTTGAAGTCTTGTCTTTTACCATTTCTTTCTGTAATCAAAGCTTCTCCTGCCTGCCCCTGCTGCTCCCCCCATGTTGCTCCATGAGTATTTTGGTAGTTAGAAATGTGTACCCCCTCCCAACCAGTTTACAGATGTGATGTAGTGCATGTAATACAAAGTGATATCATGTAAATGATACTTATATGTGGATCTTATGTGTAAAGGAATATAAAGAGTGACTGACATACTGGAAGCATGCTCAGTCCTTGTTTTCTGGTCCCTCCTCCTCCATCGCTTCCCTGATTCTCCCACTCAAGTACAGACAAGAACACCCTCTGGGCTCTCCCTCTCATTTAATCTCTACATCACTTGCCTCTGCTGAGTTTCTCTACCAACCCAACCTTGTCTGTTCTGCTGTCCCTATCCACCACACACATCATTGATGCTGATTCCCCACTATTCATCTTCTGCCTCTTACAATGAGCCCTTTAGTCTCACCGCAAGATCTGCAGGAAGCTGGAACAAGGACGTCCTTTTCTGGGAAGGTGATTATGTGACCTCCTTTTGGGTGCAACTCATATCAAAGTCCTTGGAGAAAGCATGATTTTGTGAGCATGCAAGATCCCTCCCCCAAAGATTAGGGCAGTCCTTCCCACCTGAAATTCTTTAGAGATGTTTGACTACACCCCTCATACTCAGCCAGAATGATAGGAGTCCTATATATCTGGAGGGCACTAGGTTGGAAACAGCATATTATCCTCAACCCCTGGAAGCTGATGGCAGAACCTTATTTGATCGCAATGGATCTGAGATGTACTGGTGGTAAAATATCTCTCTCTGGGTGTGTATTTCTGAGTGAGAGGTAGTTTGGTAATTTTTGCCGGCATGTTGGAAAATTGATTACATTGCTGAAACACACACATGTACACACATCAATCCAACCCAGCCCTAGTTACAATTTCTCTGGTTTTGGGAGCAGGTGGATGGATACAGAGCAGCATACGGGGAATTTATCCCTATCAATCCTGCAGCAAATGAAAGGGAATTAGCGACTTCTTGGTTTAAGTGATCGCTGGCTTGATTCTGAGCAAATCATTAGCTATTCCCGTCCATATGCTTCGGCCTTCTGCAGCAATCCGAAAGCCCTTTCCCGCCCAGGAACGCAGGCGAAGAAAGGGAATTTGCAGTTGGGAGAGGGGATTTTTCGATCCTAGAGATTTTCGAACTAAACCTTTGGGAATGTGTGGTGTATGCGTGTGTGTATTTAAAATGGTTAAGTAAAATATAGTCTCATTATACCAAAGCTCAGCACTGACTTCTCTCATCCCCACCAGATTACATCGTTAACCCGATTTAGTAACCACCTCCCTCTT